AAAGCGGTTTGTTATTTGGTTTTCAGAGTAGAATTATACACTACAGAGCCCGAGAGGGGACATCAGTAAGAAAAAAAAAGTTATAATCGAGGGAACGATTTCTAGAATTACTAAATCGTTCCCTCGTTTTAATTCGTGTGAACGAAATAACGTTTATGTTATGTATCTTATTGTTATTTTTGAAACTCCAGCATTTCACATGATGTAGATGACTGTCCTTAACAACTTTCAAGGCTGAACCTTCTCACCTAGATAAAAGAAACAGCCTGTGTTTTCCACAGATAATGGACTTCCAGTACAAAATACTTCGGCACAACTTGTCTGTGACTGTTGGAATGATGGCTTGGGTAGGGTCTCAATGACTGGGATAAATATTAGTGCAATATGGCAAAGTTTTCATTTCTAATTCGTGTATAGTGCTGGATTCTCCCCCACATAACTTATTGCATCACTCAAGTCATTAAACTGGATGAAATGCTGTTAAGATTTCCACCTAGTACCACAACAACAATCAAACACACTCATACTGTTTGTATGTCATCAATGTTCTCCTAGTGTTTATTGTAAATCACCAATTTAAGTGTATAATTCAGCTTGATATCTGACTTAATATCTGTGCAAAGTTGCATCAAGAGAAATATGAAAGGAGATTTTAAGTGGTACACCGCATTAAAAACTAAAAACCATCAGTAATGGCTGTCTATCAATGTTGTACAGGTGGCACAGTCTACAGGGCATGATCCAGGTTTAGACAGTTAATGATATTTTAATATCTGTGCACAGGTTATTTAATTCTTCCTTTCCTACTGTACACAGCTTCTCAGGAGATCTCCCTCTCAGGAACACCTGTTTAATCTGTCAAACTGCAAGCAGAAAGATTAATGCCGAAACAAAATATGTGATGGTCCCCTAAAATAAAATGAATACACCTCCTTAAATGCTGCAAGTATGGAGGCCTCATTAAATAGACACATGAATGCAGGCAGAATGGTAATAGATGTATAACTTCCATACAAAACATTTTATAATTTCTGTGCCAAACCAAACCTTAGTGTTCTCAAGAGCTATATTCACTCCTGAAATCTGCAGCTAAAATGTTATCAGAATACATTTAACACAGTATAAAATATATACAGCTCTAATTAAACAGTGTTTCTACCTAGCTGACAAAACAACTCATTGTAATTATGCAGTAGGCTTCCCTGACTCACTGTGAAATCACAAGGAACCACCACCCTTCAGCCCCCACACAGCCAGAATAGAAATTAGCTTTTCTTATTTGCCTTCTAATTATAGAAGCTTTAACAAGAAGACAATAGCTATCCAAATTGATTTAATAAAAAGATCTGGAATTCCTTTTTCATTAACAGTTAAAAAAAAGATTAAATGATTGCATAGCTCATGACATGAAATATCAACAGCAAATGTTTCTAGAACATAGATTAAGGTCATATTTTCACTTGGCACTCATATCCAAAATCCTCAGCACTACTTTGTTGCAGAACTTGAACACATTCTTTTCATTCATGTGGAAGACCTTGCAGTTTTGCTGGTTACAACAGCTGGGCCTTTCCTTGACATGGAAGTACAAAATGTTCTTCTTTTGTTTACATACTTGTCAAAGAAGGAAAACACCTCAGGTTCTTCCAGAATCTGCTCATTTCTTAATATTTCTAGTTTGACCTTAAAAAAAAAAAAAACACTTTCAAGCACAATACCCAATATTACAAAAGACCACTCATGTCCCTCAGCCACATCATTATAAATCCTCAACACAGGACTTCCATTGACAACAGCTGTGCTTAATTAACTCAGGACAATTCTAATTAACTCTGATCAGCATTTTTTTCAACACGAAATGAGGAAAAGCTACAGGGGGTTGAGTCTATGCTCTTAGTGCCCTAGGCCCACAGTAGATTCCCCCTATATCTTTACCCTATATTCTGTCACACATGAAAACAATACATTCTTATATAAGATACAAACACTCTCACATGAAACAGAGATCAGAAAACTGTGCAGGAAAGCTCAATGATTTTCAGAGACATCTTGGGAAAACAACTGGAAATGAATCAGTAGCTGCCATAGTACATGTAGATAGATTTCAGATTTCCCATATTTTAGTGTGATTTAAGTCTGATCTTGTGTGACCATCAGCTCACATGAAAGCAGGCCAAGAAACACCCCACACAGATCCCACTTCCCTGCAGCCTTTGTGGGTTCTGGAACACAACTCAGGAACTACTGAGTTCAGCAGTGCTATCACTGCAACTCACAACTAGCACTGAAGCTCAGCAGGTGTGAGCCTGGTCTGTACCTGGATGGGAGACCTCCTGGGAACAACTAAGGTTGCTGCTGGAAGAGGTGTTAGTGGGGCCAGCAGGGGGCGCTCACCCTGCATCATGTGGGTCCTAATGCCCCAGTATAGTGATGGGGACACTATACTGTAAACAGGCGTCGTCTTTCGGAGGAGATGTAAAACCTGATTCTTTGTGGTCATTAAAAATCCCAGGGCATTTCACGAAAAAAGTAGGAGTGTAACCCCGGCGTCCTGGCCATATTTCACATTGGCCTCCTAATTATCCACATGTATGAACTGGCTTCATTACTCTGTTCTCCTCCCCACTGATAGCTGATGTGTGGTGAGCGTTCTGGCGCACTATAGCTGCCGCCGTATCATCCAGGTGGATGCTATATGGTGGTGCAGGGGAGTCCTGAAAGGGAGTGTTCAGAAAAGCGCTATATAAGTGTAACCAATTATTAATTATTATAATTATTGCAAGGCGTATCACACTTTCCAAACCACAACAAGAAGATGATAAAGAATAAAGCTGTACTGAGCAATTGGTGAATTGGAAACACAACCACATGATCACCAAGTGCTCACATTTGTCAGAGGCTGCCTGATCTGCTGATAGGTCCTCTAAAAGTGAGGGAAAAAAATGGTGTGATAATTTATAAATTAGTGGCATTTATAGAAACTTTTCAAGAGCATCTACAGCAGTATAGCTCTGTAGCTTGTTCCACACTTCTTTGAATAGAGAAACATTTAGTCCAAAGGTGTGTCTTAACATTGCTGTCTCACGTCACAGTTTATTATTGCATTACAGGTTAACAATGTTGATAGTAATAGTTATATGCAGCATTTGTTCTGTTTATGGCAGACACATCCAAATTGAGGTGGCTAACTGCATAACTACATAACTAGCATTGATGTGTAATAAATCTCTTCCATCATCCTTCGATTTAATATTTAAACTGAGATGTTGGTTCAATGGACAGCACAATGGCACTGAGGTTACCATTGGTGTTTTGCAGTGCTGGAGCCCACAGCGCAATTCATGAGGTGCTATCTGTATGGAGTTTGCATGTTCTGCAGGTGCTCCCACAGTTTAAAGACATTCTGGCAGGTTCATTGGCTTCTGTGAAATTGGCCCCGGTATGGGTATTTGCATGTTTGTGTCTGTGTATGCAATGGACTGGTATCCCATTGTGTACCCAGTGCTTACTGGGATAGGGTTCGGGCCACCCAGAGCTTGAATTGGATAACCAGTTACTGAAAGTGAGAGAGTGTTGCCTCAATACAATTCCAAGATTACAAAAACTACTTGCTATTTTTTTCCTCCATTCTTGTGAGAAGAAACCCTATTTTAAAAAAAATTCTCACGTTGACCCTAATGAAGCCAGTGGGTTCTCCCAAGTCTAAAAATGTATTGCCAAAGCAGCTAATAAAGATTTCTCGGAACAGACATAGTGTAATTGAAGAGCAATTTAATTTCATTAAACAAGTGCTAATTAAGACTTCATTAATAATGCACAGGAAATCTGTACAATCAGAAACATGACTTCAGAGCAATTGTGCGATTGCCTCTCTTGGTCCTGAAATGATGTCCTGAGGAGAGAAGGGACACAGACTTCAAATGAGTCTGGATCATACAGTACCAATGTTGACTTCCGTCTGGTAAGCACAAGC